ATTAAAAATAAATATTTAAACAAATGCAATGCATAATGATCAACCCAAATAAATTACAAATAAGCAGCCTGATTTATTACAAATAATATAAACACATAAATAGCTTAAAACATTCATTGTACTATTTTATTTGGCTTCTCCCGAGTGGCGTCTCTTAAAAGTTTTGTGTACTATATACTTAGAAAATGTCTTTTGAGAAAGCAAATCTAAATTAAAACAACAAACAAATACAAAAACAAAAAAAAAAAAAAAGAGAAGCAAAAATAAAAACAAATATTTAGTACGAACACTTCTGTGCGCTCATTGAGGCCGATGCCGTTGAGGCGGAGAGTGTTTAAATGCCGACAGAAATCAATGTGTTTTTATATACTGTATTCAGAAGAAAAATATACATGTTTTAAAAAGATTTTGTGAATTCCTGCTTTATTATTCAAATAAATAAGATACAGATAAATAAGAAACAGAGAAATACTTTGCGCATGCAAACAACAATTGAAGAGATTTTGTTCAATTAAAATTACAAGTGCGATTCGCTTAAACAATGTGACGAATTCCTGTCCCCTGCATAATAAATACATCTATTAAGTTATAAAAAACGGCATTTGACATAACCAAAAGACAATAATCAACTGTATTTAAATATATGTATATATTCCCATAAACAACGCAATTCAAAGGTTTGTATTTGGCAAGCTTGATATATGCAGGCACATGTGTACATATAGAGACATACAATATATATGTATTTGTTATGTATACGTTCTCTGAAGTGGCAGAGGCAATTTTCCAAAAAAATTTCCCAAGCAGAGCAAAACTGATTTGCCCATAGAGCGTATTACGCGTTAAGATTACAATTGGACTAACTCGACTTTCTCTACTATTTCCCATGCTGAGTGTAAAGAATTTACATACCCGCTCATATATAACGAAACAAGAATATCGGCGAAAGAAACGGCAGATCATTAGAGATTAGAGGGGGAGATAGAGGGAAGAAAAATGAAGATGACAGATAAATGAATAGAGAAAATACGGGAACGAGATGGGTAAAGAGAGAAAAAGAGACTATAAGATTCAAACATGGACTTTAACATTGATTCGAGTCCGTCCGAAATTCTTGTAAAGTCTGAGTATCAGTAACTGAGTTAGCTCGATTGAACGAATAATAAACCATCTGGGTTTCTGTATAATCAGAGGTATTTCATTTCACTTTGGATAACTTCATATCACATTTTCTTTAGAAATAATAGGAACTGTTACAGTAGCAGCAATAATTGATTATGTTAACTATAAAAAAGTTTGGCCTTAAAGATTTCAAGCGTCGTTTTTTGCTTTTAAGCGAGTATTAGGCAGTCGACTACAATGTTCTAAATTTTCGTTGATTAACAACGTCACAGATCTATTTATACCTGTTCGTATATATAGGAATGTTGTTTGTTTTCGATATCTATATATATACATATATATATATAGAATCGTCGCTGATCGAGCTGAATTATAGAAAACAACAAATTATATTACATTAAGTAACAGTTAGATTTTCGAACAGCCATAAAAATAATAACACAGTTTCAATAGCTTTTCACACAGCATTAAAAATAATTATTATTACAGTTTCGAATTTTCGCTTTTGTTTTATCAGGAACTGAGATGAACGCAGTAGCTAAATGGCAGATGTTAATTGACATCTGGATAAGCTAACTATTACTTAACATCCTGAATAGAATCGCTGTCAATCGTGTGAGCGAGTCGTGTCTACATATATACATATGCACATATATACTGTAGATATATTTATATAATACATATTATAAGTACATAGTATGCTTATCTAATATTCTAAATAAATAAACAGCTATCAGAGAGTGCAATGAATGTAATATTTAATTGACATCTGCTTTTGCTTTTGTTTTTGCCTTTGGACTTTTGTTGCTTTTGTGTTTGGCTCTGCTTTTGGCTGTTTTGCTTTTGCTTTGAAATAGGGAAAATATTGTTCAAGCGAATGGAACCGTAAACATTTGATGTTTATCTATAAATGTGCCCGGCACTACGGGAGCAACAACAACAGCTCATTATATCTATGATATATTATTGCTAATGCGACTTGAAGTAAAGTATAAACAAAACTGTTTTCCAATTGTCTTGCTACTAAACTCAACTTATTTCGAAACAAATAAATAACTAAACTATTTTAGATGTTAGAACATAATATCTAAGCGTAAGCTACTGAAAATAGGTATTATTTTATATGTTGATCAATTTTATAGGGTTTGAAAAGACTATTGATAATTTGACAATTTTTTTCTAGCATTTTTCCGACTTATCGAACTTCACATCTTTAAAATCGATATATTCGTGCGCATAGACGAACGGATGGATGGACGGACGATCGGACAGACGAACTGGCGAATGGATGAATAGGCAAACAGACAGACAGACAGGCAAAAAGATAAGTCGAACGAATGGATAGACGGACTGGTAGACGGAAGAATGGACGGACGGATGGACAGACGGAAGGATAGATAAACGGGCGAATGGACGGACGAAAGGGCGGATGGACAAATGCACAGACGTAAGGAAAGCTAGACGGACGAATGGACGGACGGAAGGACGAACGAATGGACAGACGGACGGACAGAGAGACGGACGGGTAGTTAGTCAGAAGGCAAAAGATACGGACGAATGGACGGACGGAAGGAAAGAGGGATGGACGGACGTATGTACGGATGGACGAATAAACAGATATGCAGAAGGTCAAGACTAAAAGAACTTGGCTGTTGAACCACCATAGGAATACATACATAAGTATGTATATGTATATGTATATGTATACACTTTACGGTATAGGCAACGCCTACTTCTGGCTGTTACTAGCTTGTGACTAAATTAAAACGTTTTTAAATGTCAAATTTTGTCGCACAGCTTATTCATATATCGTCAGTACATTCTGTTTATGATAGAATTAAACTCGAATTAAAATTGTAAAAAGAATTGCTAAAAATACTCTTCTGCCTCAATTGAAAATTTGCATTACAAAAGCAGCTAGCCAAGTCGGCTGAGCTGGCCAAGTGAATCAGCTGCTTAGCAATTTAGTGTTGGGGAAATTAGCAACGAATCCGGAACAGGGGTTTGGGCAGGTAAGCATCATTGAATATTGAATCAATGCAGGAATAACTGAGCAACAAGCAGCTAACATACAATTCATGTACTGTCTGAATACCTGCCGCTCTTATCAGTTGGCTGGAAATCGAAAACTCTTGTTACACCCGACGTCATCCCGGGCCGCATCTCGTATGAGTAATGTTGAGTCGCAAGGGCTGATCGCTTGGCTGGAACATAAATGAATGTGTGGAGCAGACTCTCCGCTTGTCGCTTGTTGCGTCTCGCTGCTCGCTTCTCGCTTCTCGCTTGACATTGAATTGTCGCATCGCTTTCATATGCTCGCGCACATGTCGCAACGTCAGCTCCAGTTTCATTGCGTTTAATTCGATTTAAGCTCATTAAACAAAATCGTTTGGAGAGTCAAGTTTAAGTTCGCACTTGGAGCAATTCAGAGCAGCTCGACGAGTGCCTTCTCTTCCGAATATAATTCCAATTTCGATTCCCATTTCCATTCCATTCAACCGTTTGTTTGCTTGCAACGTCTACGTTCAAGTTGAAGCCGATGCCGATGCCGATGCCGACGTCGTCGTCGAAGCCAACGGCGACGTCGCCGTCGCTCGCTTTTGGCGCAATCGAAAGTTACGTTTGGGCTTTACGTAGCCAGCATTAGTCGTACGCTGAGTGTCGTCGACGTCAGTTCACAGTTTTCATTTTTAAAGATCCCAAAAAAAAAAAAATACAACGAACCATAAAAGCAAAAAAACAAGAAACCATAAAAAACATATCCTTAAGAAAATGTAAGCAAACATTTAGTGAACAAATTAAAAGGACTTCAGTGCGCTCTACTTGAAATAAGAATTTTGAAAAGTATTAAAAATTCGAATAAAAATATTTCAGTGTTACATCGAAACATTTTATGGGCACACCTCGGTACTTCTTTCAAGTGCGTCGGTCTGAAACATCTCGCAATTATGTAGAAAGTAGTTGAATAGCCGAGGCCGAGAATATATACATATRTACATATGTATATATATATATATTTTTGCAAGTCAGATAGACAGATGTATGTACGGATCATATAGAGGAAGTATGAAGCAAATATAAATTCTGATTAGGAAATCAGCAAATTGAGAAGAAATTCTCTTTTTTGATTATTTTGTATTTTGTTAGTCGTGCATCTTGAATCAAGAAACCTTGTCAAACTCTGAAGGAAATTAGCAGCTTTTATAATGCCAAAGATTGAGTGTATACATATATATTTATTGGCCTGCTCCATTCACAATATATGTATACAAATTTCATATGGTTTGTTTTGGTTGTCATCTTTTTATTGGATTAGCTATCATTTGATCAACCAAGAGTGCGAGCTGCAATTGCCAATTTACTAATTTTAGCATATTTATGAGAGTTGCCTTAGTATATGTACACACATTTATACATATGTATCTATATACATGTATATATATCGGACATGTGACTGTGCTTCCACTTCCACTTCCACTCCCAATCCCGTTCTGTTATTTATAACTATTAATTTGTGCAATTAACTTGCAAATCGCTGCAAACAAACAGCTGATTAAATAAATTCAACTATAAAGAACACAAATATGTATATAAAGCTTCACAAATCACAAAAGAATGAAATAAAATGTCAATTTGTATTGCTATTAAACTCGAACTCGCATTTCTCCAGTAATTTCGCCCGTTGTCATGCAATCCCACCTCTTCCCAGTCACAGACCCAGTCCATTTCCCAGCGTTCCTCCCAATTGGCTGCAGCGCAACAGGCAAACGAATTGCCATTTCCAATTGGAATCGGATTCGGGTGTTTAGTTGGGATTTACATGTGTACGTCGATATGTTAATCCGTTAAATAACAATAAATTGTATGTATGCATGTGTATCTATGTCCCATTTAAGAATACTTAACGATTTCGATAGTTTTTTTTTATTGAAATGCAAATCAAGCACTTGCCATAAAAAAAAAAGCAGAAACTGAAACAGAAATTGAAATAACGCACCCAGATGAACAAAGCAAAAGCTGTAAACAGTTAACATTCTGTGCATGTTCTACTGAAAAGTTCCTCTTTCCGTATCAATATTGGTTGCAAATTTTAGAAATTCCACAAGCATCCACTAGATGTGCGTATATATGCGAATCATTAAATGAGAAAGAAGAAGAAAAGCGTACATATAAAACTAAATGTTTTTACAAAGAATGAATAAAAATAAATGGGAAATACATATGTACATACATACATATTTATGTAGGCATGCTTACATCGTTGAAATGACAACTTTTGAAGCCACTCGCATACATACATATATTTTTTACATGCTTACATACACCACTGTATTTGCATATATACATATGTATGTGTGTGTATTTATTTTTGATGAATTTCGCATTTCACGCAGAATATTTATTATTCACTATCTATTTCGAATGGTCATAAAA